TACCTCAGAGCAAGTACATTCAACATGAAAACTTATTTAAGACATGTTGGCTATGAATGATTGCAAAAGTGTCTTCTGGTGACATCTGGCCTGTAATACTAAATACTTGAATGGATGTTTTAAAAAATATATATTTATTCATGAAAAACAATACAATTTGATTTATTTTAGTAAGAGATTATTGCACAGAAATAATACAATCTTAGGACTGTGATAGATATAGATAGATGGCACTTTGCATGCTGTAAGGTAACAGTGCAAAGACAGTAGCTGAGCTCTGCTAAAATGACAGTGAGTACAATCCGGTCCTCATTAATATAGTCGAATGGGCTCTTAAACAAAGATTACATGCTGTACACCACAATTACGACCAAATAACTTTAAGGGTTGTATTCCTCCATGAATCACCGAATCATGCAACAACTGGTACAAACTGGCCATTTTGTCTTTGCTCAAGAAATAAAAAGTTTGAGCTTAATTAGAAATTTATAGCATTAAAACGAGTTTGTTTGATGTTACAAATCATACAATTGGTTAGGGCTAGAGGAAACAATAAATGTAATATTTATAATATAGAGGATGAGGGCATAATTAAGAATTTAAAAATGTAAAAGTAATAATTTGATGAGCTGGAAATCAAATCTAAGTAGACAGAGTTTAAAGCAGAAGTTTGGGATACCACATTCAAAAATCAACAGTCAAAATATATACTATTTCTTAATAAGTAATACATTCAAATTAATATGGGAAAAGACCAGAAAACAAATCTCAGTAATCATGTCAGTATTTTAAGAAAATCTGCTGATTCAAACTTGTCTCTCACACTGTTAAAATGCAGACTGCATCAGTCTTTGTTGTGATCTTTAGTTCATACCATTTATCCAAACCAAAGTTCAACATTTATATGTGTCCCTTTAACATTCATATATTAGGTGCTGCATGTATAAAACTGAAGGATCAGCAGACTTGGTTGGATTTGTGTGGAGACGAGTCTGGGACCTTCGGTTAATGCTGTTATCTAAGCAGGGTGAACTGCTTTGAGAGCAGTGAACACAAATACTTTGCTGACAAATATGTTAAGGAGATAAAATATGTAAAGAGAATGCAGCATCGAGATGGTGAGACCAAGAAATGTTTGGCATTTTTAGGAGAGGAACAAATACATCTTTTTTTTGTATGTGAACCCTTAAGGAACGATCAAGAATAGGTCAATTCATTTTCATTTTAGTCATCAGTAAAAACATTCAAAGCATTTTAGTATTCACATTTTACAATTTAATGTGAACATACGATTCTATCTATTAAATTTCATATTGACAAAAACAATAAATTATATAATAATAATAATAATAATAATAATAATAATAATAATAAAGGGAAAACTCTATAATGTAATAATCAATCCATAATCAAAGGACATGTCTAAATGTTTGGAAGTGCCATGTTTCGGAGGTAAGAAAAGAAGAAAGAAGAAAGTTAGACAGACAACTGCTGTCAACAAAGGCATGAGGACAGAATAATAATAAGAACAATATACCTCCGAGTTTAAATATGTAAAGAAAAGTTTGAGAATGTGTCCCTGAGTATGTGAGACGAGCAAATGTTAAGCATTTAGGAACAAATAAAGGATTTAAATAAAACCATTTTGGTCTATTTTGTCATTTGAACAACCGAAGCAGAAGGGGTTTAACACTAAATAAAGAAATATCCTTTACATCTCTACCATTTTTTTAAGCTGAGTTCCCTCCCTAAGCTCTTGTCAGACATATTTGAGCCAATTTCAAGTGTTGTTTTGTATTTCCTTTTGTTCAGATTTTTGATCTTTCCAATTTTGTTCAACAGCTTCAGGGGTAATATTCTGGACCTGAACCATCTTAAAAAAATTGATTACTGTTGTCTCTGTGAGTTTATATCTTTCATATTGTTGTCTAAATGTGGCTGTGTAAAAAGTCATAATTAAAGATGAAAAAATACCAGTATCAACCCTAAAAATAACATTATCTGCCCTAAAAACGCTCTGATGGCAGCCTATTCACAGCAAAGACCTTTAAATGTGTTGTGTAATCTCAGAGAGGAGATGCAAAAAAAAAGAGGCACAAATAAAATGATAAACAGGATTTAAAGGCGCAAACGATATGAAACCATATCCTTGTTCGTGTCCTCTATCAGTTACTTAGAATCATTTTCCCTCACCCGCCTGTCCCTGCCTCCCTGCCTCGCTCTCTTCTCCCTCTTTCTCTCCCTGAGCCCTGTCCTCAGATGGCTTTTGGCCTACTTTCGGCTGCAGAGAGCTCCAGTGTGTGTGAGCCAAATCTCAGCATGGATTTACAGGCAGAGCGAGCGAGAGATGGAGGGATAGAGGGAGCGAGAGACAGCAAATGAGTGAAAAAAAAAAAAACATGTCAAATAGAGATAGAGGTTCGGCTTCGTGTTGTCGGCGTATCCCTCTTCCTCTACATCTTTGTTCCAACAATCGTGGTTGACATTTTTTACAGATTTGATCACACAGACAGCTTTTCATGCAGACATTGTATGTTACAACAATCCTAATTATCTTGGTCAAATTAACAATAATCCTGAGCATCAGAAATAGGCTTGATGAGCTGTTTATGAGTTGATCATTGCTCTTTAAGCTGTTTTTGGTGTGAAACCTACCTTGCAACTCACAAATTTGACACAAGTAGAAAACTCACAGTTTGACGTCCTCAAAATGTGCGACTGCAGCTAATTTCAAAAGTATGCATCAATGCATCGTATTAAAAACTGTAAATAACGATTGGTTTCCACTGTGCTGTTTGTTTTCTATAATCAGAGGGCTCCGTGGCGACCACACACTGAGGCAACTCACAAGATAACTGTTAATGAAGTCACGTTGAGGTGAGAGGGTTGGGTAATCAAAGTGATGAAAGAAAGTATCAAACTGTCAAAATATACTGTGTATGCTGTCAGTTTATTCCAGACTGAGTTTAAGTTAGAACATAAGAAATGGGCAATTATGTGGTACCCATTATAGTTTTTATACTCTTTTCTGTCTCAGAATGTCATTTAAATCAGTTACTTAAATTATTGATACAGATGATGATCTACTTTATTTTTGTTGAATTCTTTTAAATAAAGGCACCAATTTTATATAGCCATTGATAAACTTTCCTGGTAATTGTCATCAAATAGAAACCAAAATCATTTGTGTTTGTTCATGGATTCTGGTGTTCCATGTTAACATGTTAATATGGAATGAATTATTATTGGTTCACAGATCAGGGTTTACATAACTTTTTATGCATACAGAATAAAAACAGTACTAAAAAGGCAGCAGCATCTCTTTCTTAAACTTTATTTATGTAAACAAGAAATAGTTCAATGAAACACTTAAGAACAACACATAACATTCAGTATTTGCAATTTAAAATTGTATTTGAACACAAGCCTGTATGCATATTGCATATAGATGTAATTACAATTTATAAAAGGAAACAAGTCATAAATTAAAGAATTCTTATCTGACTAAAATGAAAAAATTACTACATTACATGATGAAACAGACACATTTGTTCTTTTACAAATGCTGCTGTCTGGCTCTCATGATGCTCTCTGTAGCTTAATTTAAACATTCTGCTGTCTATACAAGAAGCCCAATAGCCTACAGAAAAATTGCAAATATGGTATTTCTGTATGAAAATCTCACCGAAACAAAGTGTATAACAGGATCCACTTATCTGTAGTGTAGTTTTCTTTCCCCCCATGATATACACACAGCCAAATGCAGATTACCTGATGTGTATCAGTCTGATAGAATAATATAAGAAGCTGATCAAAGACATACAGTGAACAGCTGTTCATTGTATTATAGGGCTTCTGCAATAATGAAGTTCCACAATACGCTGAAAAATCTATCTTAGAAAAAGCACGAATGATCGGTTCCTTCTTTTACAGAACAGTTTTACAGCAATAATTCTGTATAATGTAATACAACTGTGGGGGATTGTATAAGTAAGGACATGACTGTTGTTTTTTCACATTTATAAAATCTCACTTTGCTGCAGTTACTAATCCTCTTGCTGTATCAGCATTTCATATTCCTGTCATTATCACTCTGGCCAATGTAAAACCAAAGATGAATATAACAAGTCCTGGCAAGACCTCTTGGTGTGTTGAAAGTAGTTCTTGGAAATGTGGTGAATCACTGAGGTAGAGGAGGCAGGTTGAGGTTAAATGGACGGCACAAGAAGTTGACACTTCATCGCTGAACAACTTGTGGAATGAATGCCACAGTTTGAAAGTCTGCAGCATCGTGCGTGTGGCATTTTCCTCTAAACGTTAGCAAATAGACTTACGCCGCACATGCTATAATGTTAGCATTATGTAAGCTAAATGTCCACTAAAGTGCTAGCATGAGGCTCAGAATTACTCAGAATAGTGTAAATATTAGCTAGCCTAGTATGATGTACGTTGTTGTAGAAAATGTTAGCTTCTACTACTCTACACCTTGGATGCTAATATGTTAACATGATACCATATTACTCAGAATAATGTAAATGTAAGTATCAGCTAGCTTAGTATAACATATGTTGGAGTTAGTATGACGCATTCTACTACTCGACTACTACTGGAGGCTAATACGTTAGCTAAGGCCATATTAGTGGTGTAAACTAAAATGTAGGCTTGTTATATACTATCACGTAGCCCTGTTGATTTTTTCAAAATGATGCCTACTATCACTTAAAATGGCTACTTTGTGCACTTATCACAGAGCAAGCTAAAGTGTTAGCATGAAGTATACATTCAAATAGTGTGTATTGTATAGTGTAAGCATGATTCATAACTATCTTTAATATATACTTAGGTGTTAGCATGGAGCTAGTTATTACACAGCATAATGTATACAAAAGTGTAAATCACTTAGCATAGTGAATAAGTGTTACTAACACTTAGTTATTATATAATTAGCATACTTAATATGCTATAACATTGGTGCATTTCTTGAAATAACACAAAAGGAGGAGATTTTCAATAAATATTTTATTAACAACAATTTTTTTTTTGTATTACAAAGACAAAAGAAAGACATTCCTCTAGAAAAACATCTTAATATCTCAGTACTGGAACCATATTAACAACAAAAAAAAAAAAAATGCCAGAAGTGTGTGTGTGTGTGTGTGTGTGTACGTCGGTCCAGCTGTATGTATGTAAGGGTCAACATATCATGTACACCACACAAATCTGTGTATGTATGTTTATGGGCAGTTGAGGCTCGCTTCAGTGAGGTTGTCATATGCGTCTCATGTTCACGGACCATTCCTCGACATGTCCTGGCCTGGTTGAAATGGCTAAAAGAGAGAGAGAGACAAAGCTTTTTAACAGCTGGGTCACAATGTACAGCACATACAGTATGTACAGTACATTACTAGCTCACCACAGTGGTACTCATGTATCCTCTTTACCTGTTGAAATGAGCACATGAAAAGCAATAAAAGCTGGCACATGAAACATTTATGAATATTTGGATACTGCAATAAAATGAATATTTGCGTGACAAATTATTTTTTGCCATATTAATGTAGCTTTAATTAGCATGACAAACATGAATTAATAATGTATTATTGTGGTATTGTAGCCCATTTCACACAAACAATCATACACAAATGCATACATCCAATTTCAGTTTACATGGACTAATTACTGCGAGCACGCTGCAAACTTGCTCGTCAACCATCTTTATTAATGTCTTTGTTTGTGTCCATTTACTGTCCAATGTATTTGTGGTCCGCACAGAGGATGTTGTAATATCTCTTGGCAGCTCTGCAGAAACAAACATCACGCCAAAGAATTAATCTTGTTGAAGCAGATTTAAGCCTTTAAACAGGTATAAAAATACCTCCAAAGATAAAATATGAAACATGCCAGATTACATGCCTGTTTAGAAAAGTCCCACAACTCATTCAGAGCTGCTATTAATAAGCCTGACAGTTGAAAGAATTGACAATCATGTGAAATGACAGCATCAAGGCTTTATTTAGACACAACTGTAAGACGTCTCTATTTCAATAGCAGCCCTCTGAAGAGAACACTGGGCTTACTGTACTGCTCTCACATCATTGCTATATTTATTACAAGGGAAAAAGTGGTACTATTATGTTATGTGGTTGTAAAATATAATATCTAGTTATGATCCTTATAAAGCAAACAACCAATTAGATTGTAGAATAAAAACATTTACCTCCTCAAAATTGTCTACCATCATATAAATCACATTACATAAAGGCTACTCTACATAATCTGTACATTATAAATGTAGAGCATATATATTCATTGAATGTGTTCTTTTATATAGTTTGTAATACACATCAGCTCTGATACTGACAAATAGCTGTAAACTGTGTTTTATCTGATGCAATAAAAGAAGATGCATAAAAACAAAACTATACATTTATAATTGTTATATAACTTATACATTTACATTGGAAATTAAATATGCAAGTGACAATATACTTTCACCACCACAGACAACACGTAACATTCAGTGTCACCGAGCTGAACAAGGAAGTACACGATCACAACTAATGAAAAGAAATTTATTTGGATTTGGACAAAAGACTGAAAAGTCACATGTAAAATACAGAGAAGGGCAATTCATGAAACTGATAAGATGATGATAAGAAAATTGTGCTAAAGAAAGGAGGATACAAAAATTGCACTTGGGTAAATGGAATTTGGTGGAGGCTGAAGTGTCTTGTGTTTATTTATAAGTATATAGTGAATGCACATAATGTATGCAGTATTGTAGATACTGTGCATCTGATGTGACACATCAGTTTCCCTGTTATTTTCACTATTGATTTATCTGCTATTATTTATTTGATTACATGTATAAAAAAAAAAATTAAAAAAAATACCTATAAGAGGCCAGGAAGTGACGTCTTTAAATGTCTTGTTTTGCTGACCAACAGTCCAAAAACCAAAGATATTCAGTTTGCTATCATATTGCAGCATTAAACTAAAACAAATTTGTGACACGGAGCAGGTGTGTAAATGTCGTCTTAAAGAACACTGATACAGTGAAAGCCTCAAATTCTGTGAGATTTGTGTCTGCTATAATAGCTTGTCCTGATCCAGCTGTTGTGTGATGTGCCCATCATCCTCAAACAGATAACAGATACAATCCTTCAAAAACTTGCCAGCTCTGTGGAATAAAGAAAGAGAAACCCCCAAAATCAAATCTCTCTATGTGCAGACACACAATAGCTGATCACATCTGCACAGCTTCCTGGTATCAAGGCTGCTGAGGCAGAAAATGATCCAAAACGTTAACCGCAGCCAACGTGCCTCAGCTCTTTCCCTCCAAACGTCCCCAAAAAAAGAAAAAGTTTGAAGCTTTTTGGTTGACGTGGCAGGAAAGGGTTAAATGTTGATTCATCTGGGGATTTCCACCGTGTCTTTAAATCCAATACGACCCGCAGCAGGATAGTGCTGACATTGAAGAGGAGACGGGCTCAGCCTCCAGTTATCAGTACCTGAGTTTCTATTAGGCAGAGACAAAGGGAAGAGTTTGACGTGTGTGTGTGTGTGTGTGTGACTGCTGACACATTGTTGGTGACATTAGTCTCTCTCAGATTAATGAGGTTAGTGTGTAGTCTAGTTAATCTGCTGGTGTGATGTGGCTGCGCACAATCCCCAAGCTCCTTTAAACTGGCTTTAGCCTGAATCAGGGACACACACACACACACACACACACACACACAGCTACAGACAAATCATGCTGAAAACATACTCGTCCACCCAACCGGCACATTTAAAAAAAAACAAAAAACGTCCAGATTGCAGACAAAACAGCATACAGTTTGGCAGCTGATGCACAGACTGAGTGAAAAAAACAACAAGAAAAACAATGAAAGCACTGGATCTGCCCCAAATCCTAAATCTCTCAAAAGTCGGCCAAGCTACATCACTGAGGAGCACCACAGCAATTTCAGCTCTATGGTGAACATACACCGCAGGTGTGCAGTTCCAAGAATGCCCTCCGCTGTTCGCCGGTGCCATAGGTAGTGGGCATTAGCCCACGTGGAGCTGCGACGCCATCTTGTTTCACAGACAGACTGGAAGGAAGGGGCAGTGAACTCCTCTGCAGTGGGAAGAACTGCTAAACACACACACTAACAGACATGCTGACAGATACTGTAGGAAGCACACACACACACACACACACACACAGACGCTGACCAGCTCTGATTATTGATGAGTGTGCTTCTCCCGCCTGCAGCATAGCCGAGGCTGTGTGTTGAAGGGAGTGGCAGAAAAAAACCTGCAGAATGGTGAGTGTAAACGGAGAGAAGCCACCCCTGCTGCCACAAAGAAACGTCTAGGCTCGTCGCCAGCCGTCTCTTAATGCGCCGATCGATGTCACGATCAATAATTTTATTTTGATCCGATCGGGTCGATTCCTCAAACATTTTCTCGTGGCACTTTGGGCGTAACCCTGCAGCAACCCATCCGACACACCCTCCACACAAAAACTCCCCTTTTGACCGGATTTAAGTCATCCACTGCACTGCACCTTCCACAGTCCACCTTAAAAGAGATTACATCAATCAACAGCTGCCTGCTGGCGTTTGGACTCTTTCAAGCCACAAAAACTGCATTTAGACCACTGTGGGAGACCGAAATCTAGACTAGTAAATCTCTGAGACTTACTGGTGCAGGATCTCAGTGAGGCAGGTGTCATTACCGGTCTGACTGACTCACACACCTGAAGCTGCTGGGTAAAAGCTTCCCAGTCAGTCAGTCAAAGAATAAGATTACCATTTTACCCACATTTCATTAAACCTGTCTGAAATGTTGGATCAGATCAGGATTCAGCTCACAGGCTTCCTGATGCAAATCATCCCTTTTGTAAAAAATTCAATCAACATTGGGGCGATGAAGCAGCTTATCTAGGCGGGTATATGGCCACCAGTCGCTCTGTCTGTCTGTCTGTCTGTCTGTCTATCCTCCACGTCTGCCTCAGCCATGGGGACACAGTGTACAGACAGTGTGCGGAGCAGTCGAACAATGGAGAGCAAGCCTGCAGCCCCCTTTTCGAGCTTACCGGCTAGACACTAACTGCTGCAGGTTGGTGTTTGTTCACTGGGCTGAACAAATAAAAAAACGATTTTGAGGCAGAGATACGGCAGAAAACAATAGACACGGGGCTGACAGTGGCGTTACATAAGATAACTGCGAAAGCAGCACATTAGCAGCGCAGAGGGGGTTCAAGTTATAATCCATATTAGTTCATTAACAACAGGACGGAAGCATCTGCGGGAATCCACGCGGTCACGGTTGATACAATCAGACAGAGCGAAGCATCTTTTGCAACATCATATCCAGCTGTTGTCAGCTGAATAAATGCCAATGGCGGAGGGTAAATGATGAATATACCTCAAGGTCAAGAGTAAAAACAAAACTGTTGAAAAGAGGCATTTATTGATCAAAATAAATGAAGCATCAGGGTCACAAGGATCTCAGTCTTTGAACTGAAGCATGTCTGAAAAACATATGTGAATCTTACCCTGTAATAATGCAATATCTAAGCTAACATCCTCTAGAGCATTTCTAGGTGTTCATATGCATCCATGTAGAGCTTTGCAGCAGATATTACCACAACCAATTTCCATTTCCTAAAATCTGGGATCCACAAGTGCATGGGGGGTTTAGCATCCATTTAAATTAAGGGAAGCGCCCATGAGGATGAGCCATCATCAATATTCACGCTACGCCCCATTAAAACCAGATATTAGCTACGGTGTGATGGGCCTAAGTCAAATATTGATGAATCATGTTGTCAAAGCTGCTGTTAAAAAATAGGCTGCAAATGGCTCTCAGGAGAGCGATGGCCTCCTGAGAGCAAGCTGCGAGGTGCAAAGGAGGACGACACGGTAAACTAACCCTTAAAGAACCAGTCGGAAGAGAAAAGAACCTGATGGAAGTGTGCCCTGAAGAGCCGCCATGTGCTGCTTCGCTACAATGACCAACTCAATAGTTATTCAAAAGTCAGAGTGGGATTCATGTTACTGTCGAGGACAAAGCGTGCTGCCACTCCGGAGACCCCAGAATCAAATCAACAGTTGCAGGAGCACTTCACATGTGAAGCATGGACGGTGGCGATGTCGTCGTATAGCGGTGGAAGGCACCACACATTATTCTCAGTGGACATCCCTTGCTGTGCCGTGAGTGTGTTCTCCCCGCCACCTTTACATTTGTGTTAGCATGAGTGAGTGGGCTTCACCATCGCTGAGGGTTCACTGAGGTCAAGCACATAATGTACAGAGCTGTCATGGTCACGCTCGCAACA